TTTAAGAAAAGCTGGAATGCCCCTCAGTTAATCTACATTCTATTGTGCAGGCCAGTTTTTATGGAGTCTCATCACTGTGGTGAAATGACTGTTTATCAAAGGTCAGTTACAGTACTCAGAGCCCCACAATGGACTGAAATACAGGAGAAGATGAGTAATTTGGAACCTTAATAAGAAAATTTTACTTTATTTGTGTCTAACCTTGAAAAACACTCACAGATTTCAACTATTATACAGGATGTAGTGGTACAACTTCTCAAGGGCCTTTTGTCTGCATACCTCGCTGCCTACCAGAGGCTTATTGTCAGCACTGAGTAACCACAGTAATATAGGGTGGGTGTTTACTGTATTTATTGATAAGTGCCTTTTGTTTTTCTTTCTATTTTATATCTCCCCAGATCTTGATGAACATTCTGGCCTTTCTAGCTTCCTTGGTTTCATTTCATTTTATTATGGCATTTGGAGGCCTTTTCCTATCCCGAGACAGAATTGACAAAGAACGGTATTTTTTTTCTTCCTGAGCTTCTGGACAGATAATTTGTATCTACTGTGTGCAGCCTGAGTGTTGAGGTACACATTAAAGGAATAAATGGCTACTCTCCATTTCCACATACAGTAAATGTGTTATTCTGATATTGCTTTACCCTGTCAGATTAGTGACTATATATTTCTTTCAGTTTTCAAATAGAACCTGGTAAAAGTCCTGTTAAAATGCAAAAAGGTTTTAGGGGTTTGTTTTGGGTTTTTTTCCTTACAACGCTGGAGGAAATGTTTTGGTGTTATGGCATTGCGAAGAATTGTATGAGATTGTTATTAAGATTGTTATCAAAGGAATTAAGCTCAGCAACTAGGTTTTCACAGCGAATGGCACCCACAGTACTGTCTAAATTTTCAGCATCTAGGAAAACACTGCCTTAAGTTTAGTAGCTGATTTCTGGGTGGTGGAAAAGGAGGGCAGAAAAAAAAAAAAAAGCAGTGTCATCATTTCAGGGTGCACCTTCTGTTTTTTTGATTGGGTTTTTTTTTAATCTCTAAATTGAGATAAATCCAGAGGAATTTTGGAACAGACCGGATATCTTGGCCAAAAAAGTACGCAGGCGAAAAAATGTTATATACTTAAGTCCCAGTGCAGCCAATGGCAGTTGGATACCTAAAACTTTTCATTATTTTGAAAGTCTTCCCTATTTGACCTGATCTCAGCAACAGAACTTATAACATGAAGTTTTTTACTTTTTTTTTTATATATATTAAAACATCAGAAGTTCAAAAAGATATCATTTAAGCAATCTGTGTCATGATATTCTGCATCATAATACAGAGGTGAACTGGAAAGAAGATATGTACACTGCCATGGAAGTTGTGAGAACATGTTGTACTAGTACCTTAGCTGGCACTCCAGACAGTCAAATGAAGTAAGTCAATGGATCTATGGTACAGAGGTCAGAGTGGCAGTATTTCTGAAGAATTCAGAGAAGGTGTCTGGAGACTGCTAGTGTGTGAGATGGAGGAAGAAAGAGAAAGATGAGCAATGAATTCCCTAAAGCTATTTCTCTGAATGCGTTCCATAATAAATTTTAAATGTGTGTCATATTGGGGTAGACAGGTCAGATTTACCAATAATTTGCATTAACATTTGTAATATCTATCTTTTATGAGCATGACCTCTTAGAGTTTTGAAAGTTTATATTTTTCCCCACTAAATTCAACATTTTTACTGGCTATGTCATTCTCTGATAGTATATACCTATCTGCATCTTTTACATATGAAATGACGATGCTGTTATATCCCTCTTATTTCTTTCCTTGCCTGACTGCTTAGCAGAGAGGAACTGCTGTAATCTGCCACAGCAACAAGGATTGAAGGGGGGAGTGGTTGTTTTCCCCACAGAACCTAGACAATAACTCTGGGCAGGAGGAAAATAGACTAACACAAGGATCTGATGAAAGAGTGCCTTTCCTTCAATGAGCCAGCTGGCTTGCCCACAACAAAGCTTTTATAGGACATAATATAAACAAAATAAGAAGAATGGAAGCATTAAACAATGTAGCCAGGGAGAGAGGAAAAAGAGGGTCTTAAAGGAAAGCAGAGCATATCTCAGAAGCAGCAAAAGACAATATTGCCAGTGTGATTGTTCCAGTCTTCACAAAGGGTATTGTTTGCCTAGCTGGGAGCTGCTGGAAAGGGTTAACAGTTTTCCAGGGCAGACAACACCCCCACGATCCCACCTCGGGGCATCTCAGGTGTGAAGTGGGGGCTTGGGGAGAGGGCAATGGTACAGGCTCAATTGACCAGTAGTGCCCTTGGCTGACACCGTAGTTTATTTGTGAGCTTATTAAGCCTGGCCAGTCCTTTGGGGGCACTCCTGGCAGAGGTCACAAAAGACAAGATTTTGCATAATGAATACATTAAAATCTTTTTGTTAGTGCATGGGGAGCAAGAGGATAATGGCAATGAAGCTTTGGAATAAAAGAAAAGAGGTAAAAGAAAATTAGTCCCTGAGGTAGCAAATATGATCACCATGTGGACTTAGGTTTCTATTTTAGCAAGTGAGCCCTGAGAGAAAAAAGTGCTTGGAAACGTGTTGTCTTTTATTTAGATCCATAGCTACTGCACTGAAAGAGTATGTCACAAAGGGTAGAAGTGCTACTCTCCTCTATGATGAGTCACTTATATGGAAGAATCCCAGATAGCGAATAGTAAAGGATGGAGAATGCTGTAGGAATTTTGAAGATGATCTCTCTCAGGGAAAAAAGAGAAAAGAAAAAAAAAAGGAAAAAAAAAAAAAAGATGCTCTGTCAGCATGTAGACTATAAATTACACTCAGTTGTTATAAATTGGTGTTGAAAATAAAGTTAACATTATCATAATTCTGACCATGAGTCATGATACAGCAGATAGTAGATGCACCTTTCCTGGCACTTTATAAAAAACCCAAATTTGGTGACAAGGATAAGCAAGTTTAGGTGCACATGTGAAGATGGCAGGGTCTCACAACTCAATAACCTGGTGATTCAAAAGACTCAGGGCTGATAAAAGGTAAGAATGCCAGCTGCCAAGGTCAGTTCAAGTATGATATAAAGAGAACCAAATCACAGTGAAAATAGATAAGATACTACTTGAGTTGGTAAGGTACATTAATCTGATGAAAGCTAAGTTGTGTGCATTTTTTTAAAAAGCTTTATCAATCTTTGTACTGGTCCCAAAGCCCAAATATGCAATCTTAAGTAACTGGAGGAATGTTAGAGGACTTAGGAATATAGTAGCTGGTCCATTTGAGCACATCAATGCCGTCTTCAAGCAAGTTTGGCTGGAGCAGAAAATCAGTGAATAACTACCTCAATTTACTAGGATGTCTCTCAATCAGTCTATCAAGGTATTTAAGGTTCCTGATAAGGGTGCACTTTTGCCAAAGCCTAATATAGATACTACTCTACTTTTTTTGGTTGTCAGTAGATAATTTAGAAAAGAAGATTCACTTTTTTTTTTTTCTGGTCTCTGGAGAAATACTTTCTAATGGAAATATTATAATGCACTCATAAAGATATGAGGGCTTATGCATTCATACAGATATGTTCTGTAAGTAGCTCTAAGGTACACAATAGTTAGTCCACTAATGATAATTTTGTATCCTCAGAAATTATTTGCACTAGCCTGTTTTGAAATTTTTGTTTGCATAGAAAATATGAGAGCTAAATGATACAATTCTATTTCACCTCACCTTCCCTCTGTGCCGCTATTATTCACCACTTTTATCTCAGCAGATGATACAGCTGGCATCCAGTTTCTGTCTCCTAACAGAAAGTTAATCTGTGTTTCTTATTCCTGGTATTTCTGCATTGGTCACAGGATCCAAAATGGCCCTGGTGAGGTGATACAGTCAACACTAAATTCCATCTTTCAGCAATTTTTGTTGCATTTTGAAATCTTTTTTAATTAAGAGGTCTTAAGGATAACTATGCAATTCCAAGAAATTCTTTAGTGGTAGGGACTAACAATTAAAATTATCAAGATTTGAAGCTTCTGTATTTGCAGATGAAAGACATCTAATGTTAACTCTCAGAATACGCTTAAATTAATCACATTACTCTAGCTTCATTTGTATTTGAAAACTCTTCTCTGGGCCTAATATCCTAAAATGAGTTAGTGCTTTTTTTGTCTAGTATCCACACGTGTACCATTTGGAACAGAAGAAAAAGATGTTTGGTTTGCAATACGTGGTGTGTTAGTTTCTAAAGCGTTGTCTGAGACTACTCATGCAGCTACTCTCCCTCTTCTGCTGCACAAAAAATAGATTAGAACTGCAACGAAAAATAGAAGTGTTTTTTTATTAGTATTTCTTGTCCAACATTTCAATCATTCTAGATTTATATTGCAAATGGAGAAATAATGCAATACCTTCACAGGTGTGAAAAGACACCATCTAACTTTCTCTTTGAATAGATATTGTAGAAATACTTAACATACTATAGAAAGATATTCAGCTGACAGGTGAGGGAAATGCATTGCTTTACAACCTAGGCAACTACCTAAGTTTTATTCTGTCCTAATGAATGCTTAGAATTCCTGCCACTGTAACTAACATACTTTTAGTGTTTGGTTTCAGATTACTGATAACACAATGAAAATTCATCAGAGAACAAAGCAGATGAATGCAGAACTTGTTAAATGAATGATCTCATAATAGTTAGTCAGTGGTAAATCATCAACTGGAAGTGATTCTAGGAGGTTCCTTGGGGATCAACATTAGACTCAGTGTTATTCAACTTTTTCACCCTTGAGTTAAAACATAAACATAAATCATTCTTAGAAAATTTGTGGGTGGCAGAAAGGTTGGAGAGTCAGTAAATAATAATGGGGACAACAAAGCCGTACACTGAGCTCTGAATTTCTGGTGAAATGAGATCATTCATAAAATAATAATAAAAAAACCAACCAAGTTGCAACTTAATCAAATACAGAACCAGCCATGGAAGAAAATGAACTAGGCCAGCCTAGCATTTCTGGGAATAGGTTGAGTCAGGAAGCTCTAAGTAACATAGTGGAGAGGGCTTTTTGGCACAAATCTGAAAAATAGTAATTGAAATCCTATAAATAATGAAGTGAGAAATGCAATTTGGAATTTTTATATCTTTATTTGTCAATAATGAGACAGATAAGAGAATATTTTGTCAATTTCTGTAGTCCATAGTTTAAAGAATTGTGGATTTTTATATATTTATTTATTCATTTTTAATCTGGAAATGTAGAAAAGAGCCACAAAATGTGGCAGATTCACAAAAGGTTGAATAAAATGCCTACAGTGAGACACTTCAAGAGCTTGGTTTGTTTAGTCTGTCAAAAAGAAGATTGAGCAGTGACTTGACTGAGAAGTAACTGTGAAAGTATAAGTACTCTCACAACAAGAAAACGAGTACTAGTGTTCTTTAATCAGGCTCAGAAAGGGATAACAAGAACTGATGGCTGGAAGCTGAACTAAGCCACGTGTTAAGCATGAGTGGTTAACCACTGGAGCAAGTTATAAAATGGTATGATCACTTCCCTATCTTTTAATGTCTACAGATCAAGACAGATCTTCTTTCTGGAAGATATGCTGAACCCAAACACAAGTTATTGAACAATAGGATAAAATGTGAAGGCACATAATGGAAAGCTAATAGCATAATATAATTACCCCTCATGGTGTTAACCTCTAAAAAAAGAAGTACTTAAGTGGTAATCCCATGGTGAATCTCTCAAATGGCTCTTGTTATGTCTAGGACCAACCCTTGTACTGCTTCTGTCTGAAACACCCTAAATTTTTGAGTAAGTTTTAAACAGCACTGTAGCAAAATGTCTTTCAAAAACATGTTCTAGAAAAGATGCATTAGAATGAAAGTAGGAATATAATTAAAAGTATTTTTAAAATTAAAATTGTGTTCATAGTTGTAGCAGTCTTGTCATAATAGGTGAGCAGTTATGGTATCATTACTTAGTCCATTATCTGAGCAAGTAAGTTCATATCAGGGTTAGCTTTGTTTAAATAAAATCTCAGACTAGCTTTGTATTTTCTAGTCTTTTCTGCCAGTAAATGGGTCACCTCCCTGTAACACAGCTGTGACAGGCTCAATAGTATAGTTTCAGGGTATCATCTTTTCAGATGACAGAGTAAACATACTCATTTGCTATTCCAGAATGAAGGAAAAATTTGTGGATCATTCTCCATAATCAGAACTCTCTGTCTGGGATTGGAAAAAACATTAGCTCCAAATCACAGAAATATAAAATGTCTTGATGCATGTGAAGAGAGCATCATCTAAGTTTCAATTTGAACAAATATTGCATATATACTTGACATACTGTACAAAAGCTTTCAGCCGATGGGCAAGGGACATGCACCGCTTTACAATCGAGGCAACTACTGATGCATTGTGGAGCTGCTGGATTGAAGGATTAGGCAAAAGAGTAGGGCTATTCTCCCAGATACAAAGAAGGTTTAAGCCACTGGTAAATCAGCAGAAATGGGTAAGGTAATAGCATCAGTATATATGTGTTTTACCTAAGAAAAGATAACAGGAGAGAATAGAAGTAATCAACTGCTTGTGATTGATTATTCACAAATATTGTGAACAGCAAGAAAGGCATTTTTTCCTTACAGCAAATCACATACAGGGAATGTTTTTTTGTGAGAAACTTGATCAAATTTAACAATATTGATTCAGAAATTATCAGTGTTAGCATCAACTTTTAATCATTCAAGTAGTGCGAAGTTGTCCTAACTCCACTCAGGATTTGACTTAATTCTGTGGCTTTTTTTAGTGTAAATTTACAATGTTTTTACCTATCAATCTATTCTTTCTAATGTGGTATAAAATTATATCCACTGTGGCTATAAAAGCAAGAATTTTCTAAATACTAAAGAAAAGGGAATGAGGCCTGCAGGAAAATGTGTGGCATAAACCAAGTTGTAAATGCAATTATCAAGGACCGCACAATCTCTGTCACAAAATATACTACCCAATGTGATTAACTTGGCCCCAGGTGCTGATTCCCTTCAGCTTCCAAACTAACTGCACTTGAGGAGAGTCTAGCCATTGTCACTGGATCTTCTGGGTGAAATGTAGACCTAGATATCATTTCTTCTGGTTTTCTTTGGTCAGGAAATATCTTTGTTGGGTGGCCCTTGAGCACTCACAGAAAATTTCTAGCCTTTGAGTTACTTGTGGATGATATCCCCAGAATTTCACCCAACTAAGGTATGCTTGTCTTATCCTGGCTAGTGTGAGAAAAAAGTAAGGAACAGAAAATAGCCTGGCATCATAGGTTTTCTTTAAAAGACTTGAGGAACAGTTCTTTGAAAACTTCAAAGGTTTTGCAACATGTTCTACACTTAGTTCTCTTAGTCACCCAGTTATCACAAGCACATCAGGAGGGTGAGATCCTTCAGTGTTACTCTCTCCTGTGAGTTTTTTATACCTGTGTGTCGTGGTTTAAACCCCAGCCAGACAGCTTTCTCACTCACTCCCAGTGAGTGGTGCCGGGCTGACAGCAATCGAGGCGCTCACCCCCCCACCCCCCCCTCCCCGGGGCTCTCCCGGGAACGGGGAGGAGGATCGAAAGGGCGCAACTCCTACGGGTTGAGACAAGAACAGTCCAGCAACCAATGTACAACACAAATCACCACTGCTACCACCAACTACAACAATGATAAGGGAAAATAACAAGGGAAGAGAATACGATACCACCGGCCAAGAAATGAGTCCCACCCAGAAGCCCGTGTCCTTCCGGGTAACTCCCAGTTACCTCCCACCCGGGGCATGACGTGCTGTGGTATGGAATACCTCCCTGGCTAGCCTGGGTCAGGTGCCCCGTCTCTGCTTCCTCCTGGCTTCCCCTCCTCCCTGGCAGAGCGTGAGACTCAGAAAGTCCTTGGTCAGGGTAAACATCACTTAGCAACAACCAAAAACATCAGTATCACCAGCACTGTTCCCAGGCTGGAAGTCAAAACACAGCACTGCACCAGCTACCACAAAGGAGAAACATGACTGCTACTGCTGAACCCAGGACACTGTGGCACTTTGTTCTTCTATGAATACCTGAATTACCCACATTTAAGAAAATGGTTCTACACAACCCTTTTTGGGGTAGTAGAAGAAGAAAGGACAGTAAACCAGTCAGCCTCTCCCTGTTCCAATCCTGGAATTCCACCGTCCTCAGACACCACTCACAGACACATCAGTTGGGTGGAGATGCTACTTCTTCTGGGGCCATGGTCTTAGCTAAATCAGAGAAGTTCCTCCAGTTATTAAAATTAACCTACAAAATCACTCATATACAAGAAGCAACAATCAGCAGAGGAGCTTAATCTTTGGGAATGGTAGCCATCAATAAGTCACATTTCTTTGGGAAACAAACATAACTGCTGGCGAGTGTATTTTACTGTTATAAGGCAAGGGAGCCGATACTCTGTGCATTAGTGTCAGCTGTTAAATTTAGTTAGGGAGTAAAGTACCTTTAAAGGACTTCTTCAACCTAAATATTTTTACATTTCTATGATTCCATGAGAGCAGATACCTCTTTCATTGGGATAAAAGCTTATTCCCAGATAAAGCTGTCAAAATAGTAGATGCTGAAGTGGTGCCATGATCAAGATGAATGCTTGTTCTTAATAAAACATTGTGTTGGGTAAGAAAGCAGTGGCCTTCACCTCAGGCACTTCATTAACCGAGCAACCAACTGATAATAAACCATTGCATCATTATTACTTAAATAATGATGTTATACTAAATGAATATAAAGCAGCATTGTTGGGATGTAAGAATGTGCTTATGTCCAGAAATTCCTTAGTTCTTATTTGCTATATGCAAAGGTTTTGTTATTTGCAAACCAGTATTTTAAGGATAAGTCTACTTGACAATTTTCTAGATTCCATTAGATGTTTCTCAGTAGAATTAATGCTTATATAATCAGTTGGATTTTGTCTTCTCTTGTCCAACATTCCAAACAATTTGGGTGATATGCAGGCCTGATTTGATTGCACTGTCTTCCCTACATCACATTTTCACATTTTGTTTATAATTCTTCCTCTACAGTGAAACTGCTCTAATCTATCAAAATTTCACTGCAGTATCACATGGGGAACTACCAGTTAAACAGGACACAAGGATTGTAACATTTTAAAAATAGCTTAAACAAGAGACAAATATGATTTCAGTTGAAAGGAAGCCTATCAGTTTGGAGAATCTCTAGTGGAGTTTTTCAGGGATTGGTCTCAGAGCCAGTATTATTTGATATCTTCTTTGATGGCTTTGATACAAATACTGGGAGTGTGCTAATGAAATTTTTCTGATGACAAAAACTTTGGCAGAGTGGCCAATACTGAGGAGAACTGGAATAGCATACAGGAAGAATTAGATGACCTTGACGACTGTAGTAAAAGAAGCAAGATGAAATTTAATAGTACAAAGTGTAAGGTCATGCACTCAGGGACTAATAACGAGAATTTCTGCTATAAGCTGGGAGCTCATCAGCTGGAAATAGTACAGGAGGAGAAAGACTTGGGTTTAATCAGTCAATCACATGATGATTATCACTACCTGTGTGAAGCTACCATGAAAAGGAAAGTGTAATCTTAGGATGTGCTAGGATGTTTTCTAATACTGGTAGAGAATACACTTGCACAAGGTCTTGGCATGACTGCCTGTGGAATAGCAAGTACAATTCTGTTGCAAGACAGTTGCATTCAAAGCAGAAGTGCTTCAGAGAAGCAGAAAAGAAATGTTAAGAAGCTCAGGCAACACCTGAAAAGCACCTTTACTTCTTTAGTTTAGCAAAATGGAAGCTGACAGAATACTGATGTACTTTGTAAATCTACTGTACAGCAGGAGGAGAACTAAAAAATGAAATTCACAGAATCATAGAATTATAGAATCATTAAGGTTGGAAAGGAATTTAATATCATCTAGTTCTAACCCCCCTGCCATGCCCAGGGAAGAGTCCCACTAGACCAGGTTGCTCAAGGTCCTGTCCAACCTGGCCTTGAACACTGCCAGGGATGGAGCATACACAACTTCCTTGGACAGCCTGTTACAGTGCCCTGCCATCCTCATAGTAAAGAATTTTTTCCCTATATTCAACCTAGTTCTTCTCTGTTTAACTTCAAAACCATTTCCCCTTACCCTATCACTACAGTCCCTGATGACTCCCTAGCTGGCACCCTTGTAGGCCACATTCAGATACTAGAAGGCTGCTATGAGGTCCCCATGCAGCCTTCTCTTCTCCAGGCTGAACAGACCAAATTTTCTCAGCCTGTACCAATTTTCTTAGCCTGTCAATTAACTAAAGAGAAATTAATTGATGTGGAAATTTGAAAAATGCTCATAAATATGAGTATAAGGTTCTTCAATGGTGCTAATGAGAATTAACAACTATCTGCATTTAACATCAAGCTCAAGAGGCTTAGAAAGAGGTTACATATTGAACTTGCCTCTAATAGTCAGGGATATCTTCCTTTCCTACTGCCTTAAATCCTAAATGGTTATTGTCAGAAATGTTTGCTGTTAATGTCTCCCCTTAAACTGAAACTAATAAAATGGATGCCTCACATTCATTACCAGTCTCATCATGCTCTATTGAAGGGTTTCAGTTAAACTCTTTTAAACCATAGTTCAGTGGGAATGGCTGATGCCAACAGCCATGTTCAATTAATATCCTTTGGTATACAATTACTTTCAGCCAATGAAAAAGCACTTTAGTAAACATATAAATCACTTTTTAGGTGAATTTCTTTGCACTGGCATTGTGAAAAAGCCATCAGAAACAGTAAAATATGCACTTTTTGTAAAACCCCATACCAACTAAATGCTTTCAGTTAAAATTTCTTAAAAGTACTGAAGAAATCAAGTCCAGGATAATATGAAAAATTCTCTGATGTTTTCCTCTTGGTAGCTGCATATCAAAGAGGATGACTAGTGATGAACCTATGCAGAATACAATTTTCAAGGTGCACAGTAACCACAAAAAGAATTTCATATCTAGACTGTAATGAAAATACCCTACAATAATTCCCTGTCTTTTTAACTGTGCATGAATGAATGAAGCAGAGATGCCTTTGAAAATGCTTTGCCCAATGGATTCAGTTAGACTCACGTTAAGAGGCACAAAAACTGTGACATATTTGTACTATCGCTTTAGGCATGTTCAAACAACTTAATTTATTTCAATCAAGTGCATTTACTCAATTCTGGCTCTAAAAAAAACAACAGTCTGGCAGTTTAATAATATCTTGGATGCAGAGAAGTCTTCATTGCCACAGAAAAAACTTGGGTATGGAAGCAGCACAGAATTCTTGCTTCTGGGACAGTGCCTCATGTTATGCCAAAATGAAGTATTCAAATAAGTGGAAATCAGAGTTTTTCAATACTGTTGCAAAAGCAGTCTTTGTGCTTATGACTATAGGAATAGGGAGGGTGTATAAAGCTAAGCCAACAAAAGGGAAAATAAATGTAAAAGCAGAACTAAATTTCAATTCAGCATAAAGGAATAATGGAAATTAAAAGGTCTTACTCTGAAGGAGGAACAGTCCAATTGAACATCTTTTACTTGGAATGGTAGATAAGAAGATCTGAAATACAATGTGTGTTGATAAATTTTCAAACTCACACATTTTCTTTAAATCCTCTACTGTTAGACTGCAGATATAATCCCAGTATATGAAATTTTTACATTAGATTTATGAGAAAATATGAAATATCAAAAACACACAGAAAAGGATCCAATATAATTTTTCATTTGGTCACAATCAGAGAGCTGTGGTCAATGGTTCAATGTCCAAGTGGACACCAGGGACCAGTGGTATCACTCAGGGGTCAGTATTGGGACCAACATTGCTCAACATCTTTGTCAGTGACATGGGCAGTGGGATTGAGTGCACCATCAGCAAGTCTGCCGATGACACCAAACTATGTGTTGCAGTCAACACACTGGAAGGAAGAGATGTCATCCAGAGGGACCTTGACAGGATCTTGAGAGGTGGGCCAGCGCAAACCTCATGAACTTCAACAAGGCCATGTGCAAGGTCCTGCATGTGGGTTGGTGGAATCCCAAGCGTAAGTACAGGCAGGGAGGAGAATGGACTCAGAGCAGCCCTGAGGAGAACAACATGAGTATATTGACTAAGCCTAACATGAGCCTGCTTTGTATGCTCACAGCCCAGGAAGCCAACTGTATCCTGCGCTGCATCAAAAGAAGCGTGACCAGAAGGTTGAAGGACGTGATCCTGCCCCTCTACTCTGCTCTCATGAGACCCCACCTGGAGTACTACGTACAGTTCTGGTGTCCCCAACACAAGAGATGTAGACCTGCTCAAGTGAGTCCAGAGGAGGTCCAAAAAGATGATCAGAGTGCTGAAGCACTTTTCCTATGAAGACAGGTTAAGAGAGTTGAACTTGTTCAGCCTGGAGAAGAGAAGGCTCAGGGAAGACCCTATAAATCTTCCAGAATCTAAAGGGGGGCTACAAGAAATATGGGGAGGGACTTTTTACAAGAGCATGTAGTGATAGGACAAGGGGCAATGGCTTTAAGTTGAAAGAGGGGAGATTTAGGTTAGACATCAGGAATAAATTCTTTACTGTGAAGGTGGTGAGACACTAGAACAGGTTGCCCAGAGAAGCTGTGTGTGTCCCACCTCTGGAATTGTTCAAGCCAATTTAGATGGGTCTTTGAGCAACCTGGTCTGGTGGAAGGTATCATCTCTTCAGGGGGGTTGGAACTAGATGAGCTTTAAGGTCCTTTCCAACTGTCCTGGGTTCCGCAGTAGCAGTCATGTTTTTCCTTTGTGTTAACTGGTACAGTGCTGTGTTTTGACTTCCAGTTTGAGAACAGTGTTGGTGAAGCCGATGTTCTCGGTTGTTGCTAAGTGATGTTTACCCTGACCAAGGACTCTGTGAGGCTCATGCTCTGCCAGGGAGGAGGGGAGGCTGTGAGGAAGCAGAGACGGGGCGCCTGACCCGGGCTAGCCGGGGAGGTATTCCATACCACAGCACGTCATGCCCGGGGTGAGGGGTAACTGGGAGTGACCCGGAAGGACAGGGGTTTCCGGGTGGAGCTCGTTTTCTCTTGGCCGGTGGTATCGTATTCTCTTCCCTTGTTATTTTCCCTTATCATTGTTGTAGCTGATAGTAGCGGTGGTGATTTGTTGCTGGACTGTTTTTGTCTCAACCCGTAGGAGTTGCACTCTCTCGATCCTCCTCCCCGTTCCTCCGGGAGCGGGGAAGGGGAGAGCCCCGGTGCGGGGAGGCAGGGGGAGGAGACGGACACGGACCTCGATTGTTGTCAGCTCGGCACCACTCACTGGGAGTGAGTGAACAAGCTACCTGACTGGGTTTAAACCACGACACCAACCTGAATCATTCTGTGGTCCTATGATTCTGTAATAGTGATTTCAAAGAATCCATGGGAAATGTGAAGAGGTACATTTAACACCATTTTAATTTTTGAAGTACAAATACAGAATAAACTTCCTGGTGCTGTGTTTTTCTGATTAAGGAGCATACTATTAGTCCTGAATTCCTAGGTTCAGGCTCTCCTGAGTTCAGCAGTAGCAGTCATTTTTCTCCTTCTTAGTAGCTGGTGCAGTGCTGTGGTTTTGACTTTCAGCCTGGGAACAGCGCTGAAAACACCGATGTTTTCAGTTGCTGCTCAGTAATGTTTACTCTGACCAAGGACTTTCTGAGTCTCATGCTCTGCCAGGGAGGAGGGGAAGCCAGGAGGAAGCAGAGACAGGACACCTGACCCAAACTAGCCAAGGAGGTATTCCGTACCACAGGACATCATGCCCACTGTATAAACTGGGGGCAGTTAACTGGAAGGGCTGAGATCACTGCTTGGTCAGGCTGGGTGTCCTGGGTTCAGCAGTAGCAGCCATTTTTCTCCTTCTTGGTAGCTGGTGCAGTGCTGTGTTTTGACTTTTGGCCTGGGAACAGAGCTGATAACAATGATGTTTTGGTTTGGCCAAGGACTTTGTGAGGCTCATGCTCTGCCAGGGAGGAGGGGAAGCCGGGAGGAAGCAGAGACAGGACACCTGACCCAAACTTACCAAAGAGGTATTCCATACCACAGCACGTCATGCCCAGGATGTAACTGGGAGTTAGCCGGAAGGGCTGGGAGTCTGCGGGGTTGGAGGCAGTATCGCTCAGTGTTTGGTCGGGCTGAGAGGGCGAGTTATCGTTCGGCTGGTGGTGAGGTGTTGTATTCTCTTCCCTTGTTATTTCCTTTATCATTATTATCATTGGTGGTAGCAGTAGCGATTTGTGTTATACCTCAGTTACTAAACTGTTCTTATCTCAACCCGTGGGAGTTGCATTCTTTTCGATTCTCCTCTCCGTCCCTCCGGGAATAGGGGGAGGGCAAGAAGGGGGAAAGTGAGTGAACAAGCTCTCTGACTGGGTTTAAACCACGACACTGGGTATTGGTCAGTGGGTGGTGAGTGGTTGTATTCTCTTCCCTTGTTATTTCCCTTATCACTATTATTATTGGTGGCAGCCATAGTGGTTTGTGTTATACCTTAGTTACTGGACTGTTCTTATCTCAAGCCGGGGGGGAGTTACATTTTTTCGATTCTCCTTCCCATTCCTCTGGGAGCAGGGCAGGAGGAAGGTGGGGAGTAGCGAGCGGGCTGCATGGCTGACTGGGTTTAAACCACGACACAGGTAGATCTGGGAAAAAATATAATTTGAATATTTATTTTTCTTCATGATTTATGTTAATTTTTTTAATTTGTTTTAGGGAAAATACTTGCATGATAGAACAATTGAATTTCATTTCACATCTGTTGTCTTATATTTTCTGCTAGACTGATTCTATCACATCAGAGGTAGGCAGGAGAACCATACTCAGTAAAACAAGACAAAATGACACTGAAACAAGGAAGCGCATATTGGAATGGGATAGTTACCTTCAAAATAAAAAAAACAAACAAAAAAAAAGCAATGACAAAAAAAAGCCACCCCAGGTCTGCGTCCTGGTTTCAGCACATGACAAGTTGTCATACTCAAACAGCCTCCAGGTACGCCCACTGCTGATGGCAGCAGCCTCACACCAAGAGTGATACTGGTCAAACTAGAGAAATCAGCCAGGTGGAAACCCTTTGTGCACCAGTGACAGAAGTGGCAAAAGAAGTAAGCTTAAAGTTTGCTGAGTTTGCTTACATCAAAGCAAATGAAGAACACAACAGAACACAGGAGTCTGGGAGAAGTTCAGAGATTATCCACCTATATTTCTGAAGAATAAGAAGACTTGTTCCATAAAATGGACAGCAAACAGAGCTACACTGCTGGAGAAAAAAAAAAAAAAAAACTGAGAAAAAAGCTCCAGGAATGAGAGAAAATCAAGGAAGCTTTTGAAGTGTGAAATGAGACAGTCAGAGATTTTTTTGGGGGAGAGAATTGTGAGTTGCCAAAATGAGCATAACACAAAGAGAGCACTCAGAACCTGTGCTGGAACGCAAAACAGTTTAAAAAAAGAAAAAATTAGACCTTGAAGAAATTCCAGAATCAAGAGGGAAATATATGTATAAAAATGTGTGTGTGTGTGTGTGTGTATAATAAAGTCAGTACCACTTAATTGTAAGGACAGATATGTCTATGTTCTAGGCTGACAGATACTCAATTTGTTCACATCCTGGACCTTAACAGACAACAATAACATCATTTTTAAAACCAGTAGAAGTATTACTGACTGTGACCAGAAGCTCTAATCTTACTCTGACTTCAGAGTTTTCCAAGATATAAGTTAAAGATGACAGTGATGCAGTTAAGAATTTTAATTTATTTCTAGTAAGTGCTTTGGGATGTTTGTAATATTTGTTGCATTGACATCTCCATGTGAAATCAATGGACATGTTATCAGTGTTGTAAAAAAAGTCAAAATAAATAAATCTCTTATTTACTGTGTCGCTAGAGTTAAGTCACAATGGAAAAATTGATGGTTGTGTTATTTTTCAATAGTTTGCTGTGATTGCTCTAAACTACTACATTAATTTGGTGGCATTGTTTAATGAATTCTGCTCAGCAGTTGCTTTTTATGATAGTCTAAGAAAAAAATCCACACAACACTGCAGACCAGTTCATCCTACATAACCTTTACAAATGTCTTTCAGCAAAAGTGGAAATATTTTTATATGAAAGCCTTTGGATATAGTTTGTATGAACATAAATGTGATCCAGTGGTTAAGATAGAGTTCTAAATTAAATAAAGCATGTTTTTCTCTCATTCTGGTATTATCCAGCTATATGACTCTGACGCAGACATGTAAAACTATGTTTTTTAAGTGACATGGTATGCAGTTTGCAATGCCTACTGGCAAATTTCATCAACACAAACAAAAACAAACAAAAAAAAAACCAAACAAACAAAAAGAAAACACAAAAAACCAAGAACATCAGAAATTAATATGTCTTAAAAAAATGTATCAGTGTCTTAGAATTGTTTTTCTTTCCAAATATGAATGATGATGTTTACATTGTATTTATAACAGAAGATCTGGAGTGTTATAAATGCAGAAAGCAGTATGTAAAAACGCAGAAAGCAGCATGTAAAAATGCAGAAATCAATATATAAGTTCTCAAAAGTATTAGTTTTCACCAACCTCTTTTTTTAAAAATAATAGAACTTATTTTAATTTTCTCAACAAACAGTTCTAGACATTAATTTGATCTAAATTACACAAATGCTTGATATAAGTTCTGGTTTAGAAAATGTTATCTCTATACTAAGTGAATTGAGCAAAGAAGTATTACAATGGCCAATTCATTGCCAGACATTGGTTCACATTTAGTCAAACAATAAGCTTGTCATCTGCAAAAGAAAGAAATTTCAGTACAGCATTTAAAAACATGCATAGGAATGTATCAGTAGGTGAAATAAGAAATCTTTTAAACTTATCAGATTTTACTAATTTTAACCTTATAAAAGAGGAATTTAGTGTGCATTCTAAGTATCCAGCTTTAATTTTTTTTTATACGTTAACAACCATTACTAAGGTTGCTGTGATAACTTGTCAGTTTTTCCTAATGGTCATACAAAGCTTTCATTAATGGCCAGCATGAATTAGACCTTCCCGTGGGCAACTTGAACTCAACTATGGACTTCTATTAAGGGTTTTTTAATTGAGTGAACAATTTTATTTTTTTTGGAAGAATAGTTTTTTTTCTTCACATTCTTTCCCCCATTTAGCTTTTCTGATCCTGAAGTGTTACTTAAGGGCATAATTAGTAAACATTTGGGGGTAATGCCTAAACATAAGATTAAAAGCCATGATTATATTTTCTTTTTTATCTAAGTTTTAATTTTGTTTTCATGATCATGAAGACTATCACAGACATTTAAATCTTGAACTTTTTGGGAAATATGATGATTAAAAAAAAAATCATGTTTTCGCAACAAAAATTGAAGGCATGCTTGTTCAAAACTCAGAACAGTCCTCTATGGCACATGAATAAGACTGTGTTTGACTTTGTTCTTATGATGGTAATGAATTTATTTGTTAACTGTCTCAAGATGGTGAGTAAAATCTCTGTTTCTGCTTTCAACAATAATACCTTATGTCAGTATCCTTTCTGATCATTACAAACCATAATCTATAGCATGGTATCTGGGAATCAGTAGAAGGA